TAATTTCGTTGGAAATGCCTCTGTTGGGTCCTAGTCATCTCGTTGAAAGGTATCGTCATTCCTGCATTATACTAGAACGAATGACATACATTTGGTTGGTGAGGTTGTGGCCTGAATGTTCTCTCATTATTTACTGGCCCGAACTGCCTCTCAAAAGGCGGTCCCTTATAAAACGATGTACCTCGCTCTCTACCAGGCTGAGCGTTTGGGAAGAAAGTAGGGCGATGGGGATGCTGCCATATCCCTGGTTTCTCCGTATTCCCACTTACTTCTCTTTTACACCTTGCACACAAGACATCTTCATCCTTTTTTGGCTCCTTCCCTTTAATACGCTCAAAGACGTTGGGATGTGATCCAGGATCTTTTTCTCCATCATCTATAACCAATTTGAATTTGGGCAACTTGTTTTTGAAACCAGACGTCACCATATTCACTCCAAGTGGCTGCGGAAAAGGATTTTCATCCACTGCCATCTTCTTCTTATCATCGAACGTAATTCGTCCCGATTCAATGGCATCCTGTAACACATGGCGAAAAACCAAGCAATTGTTAGTCAAATGTGACCATGCATTATGCCACTTACAATATTTTTTACCCTTAATTTGTTCAGGGTTTGGCAATTTATGCTTATCGCTTAACTTTATCTGCTTATCCTTATATAATTTATCAAATATAAGGTCAGCTTTGATTACAACGAATGAGAACGTTCTAACTTTTATGTTTTCATCTTTCATAGGCTCATCCTTACCCGATGGTCTAGGCTTAGCCATTATAAAACAAGTATACGTGTCTCCTTTGACTAATTCGGCCAAACATATTTCGGTCTGATCGTATGATTCGTTATTGATGGTATGAACATCAAAATTTGAGTCTCTATAATAAGTCCCCTTACTCGAATTTTTTATCTGCTCTTTTTCTCTTATCAATCGTTCATACCTAATCACGTTCGCGCTCAATTGGAAAAGGTAAGGAAATTTCTTGTCTTGGAATTTCTTTTTCAAATCAAAGCTCAAACAATTTTGAGCGATTTTGACAAACTCTTTTTCGGGTATAGGTACAAAACATTTACTTCTTGCTGTCTTGAACTTTTTGAGGAAACCTTCTGCCCATTCGTTTGGCATTTGACATAGGTTTGCCAAATCGGCCAAAGTAACTTCAGACCCAGTCTTATAAAACTGAGCGTGGAATAATTGTTCCAATTGTTGCCATGTTTGAACAGAGTTCGCTGGCAAATTGATGAACCAGGAGAAAGCTACTCCTATTAATAAATTAAGGAAAAACCTCATTTTATGATAATCAGTTACGTCACCACTTTGCAGTGTGAATCGTCCTATGTGTTCTAGAGTAGACACCTCTCCTAAACCCGTAAACAGTGAGAATTCTGGCACTTTATACCCTCTAGGCCATGGATATGCTTGGTCTACCAAATCAGGATATGGCTTTGTATAAATCGGCCTAATGACAGGACGTACCCTAAAAGCCATCTGGTCCTGTACGATTTCCATAATCTGATTCCTCAACATGACGTTGGGGTCATAAGGAATCCCCACAGGTTGGTTGACCGGTTGATTTGCTTGAGGCCTGATAGTTGGTCCTTGATTAGGAATAAAGTTACCATAATTTGGGTCATTGTTACCATTAGCCTGAACATTTATTCCCTCATTAACACGTGGGGTATTCTGCCCGTTATTTAGGACATTATCTCTTACATTTGGATTACCCCCAAGTTAGGCGTACCACTACCATTATTCTAATTTGGCATTACACCATCCTCTTGGTTTGAAGTAGAGGGACCCCTTTACTTGGATTTAGGACTGGGGGATTATGTCCCACAATTGTCCTAGTTTGAAAGTGGTTTGTAAGAAACATAACTAATTGACAAATTTTGCCTACTAACTTATTCATTATTTCGTTCAAAGTACTCAGTTGTTTGGCCATGTTGTCATAATGTGCATTCTCATTCTGGGTAAATCTTTCCATATTATGAATATTTCGAAGATTTACCTGTTCAACGACATCTTGTGTGAGTTCTCCAAGTAGTGCACGCATAGTTCGAGGACTCAACTCTACCATTGATTCGTAACGACAGTTACTGCTCTGATTCTATCCATCTGTTCATAGAGAGCTATGCTGCTCCTCATATCGCTCGATCACAGACTGGACTCCTCCCTGACTTGCTGTTTCCTTATCGGATCTCTGAGGCATATTGTTTCACCTTTTGTATCTTCAACACCAAACACCACTGTCCTATTGGGCGTGCCAAATTGTTTCGCGCGGGTTAGTCGTTAACAATTAAAAAGGGATCAGGCGATTGTGTAAGAGACAAACCTCTTGAGACAAAATCCCAAAAAGGGGTGTTTTTATTGGCGATGACTTTACAATTGGAAAATAAAAACAGAATGCCTCCAAGGGGCGCAAGCATACGAGTTACTGAAAAGAAATGTTTAAATCTAAACTAAGAAATTTAAAATTATATATTCTCTGTTTGAGAGTGTTTGATTCGGGGTCTTTTGCTCTATGTCTTTTCTTCCTTTTATATTCCCTGGATGATCTCTTCGTGATCAATCGCTTAAAAACTGCTTGATCGCTCTATAACTGCCCACTTTCCTCGTAGTGGCCAACTTGTCATGGAACTGCCTTCTCTAACTGCTGCCATTACTTTTTGTCGTTCAACCGTCTTTAATTGAATTCCTGAAATTGTGGAACGTGATAGGGTTACTCAATAACCGCTTCATTAATCGCACCTTTGGGTAACCATAACATCTTACGTTTGCTAAGATCTTGGGCGACTCGAAGGTTTGGGTGAGAACAGGGGCACAGTTCTGGACGACTGCATGGCAATCCATTCACTCAAATCTTGGGAGATTTGTAACCTTGGACGATGGTATTACCGCATTCATGGACTTCCCTATTTGGGCCTTTATCCCGGATTGCTTGATTGGGTCGTTCTTTGGGTTATTTGATTTTGGGGATCTTCCAATTGGATTTCATTCCTTGGGCTATTCGACTTGGGCTGAACTTTTTGTGTGTCAACACCTATCATTACAACATCTTCCTCCTGCCCCCCACCCCCACAAAGTATGGAAAGGAAACGGAATGAATATTTTAAACACCCTCCTCCAAAATGAATGAAAGACAATTGAAAAACTAAAAATATAGACAAGGAATTTATACTATGCTACATCCAAGTCCATGCAGACATGCAACCCAGCTTTCTTCATTATGGTTGTTTTATCCTTTTTAATTCACCACAAAATATGGAAACTTCTATCCCATATTTATCATCATGAGTAAGAATGCCATTCCATCTCACAAGGTTATTCATTTCTATTGTACCCATTGATATTGATTTAACATTTCATATACCATTTAAATAATGCATCTCCGAAATATTTCCTCCCATTGCTGCATTTACAGTTTTGAGTTTAATTTACATATCATAAAATACAAAATTGTTATATTTAGGGTTGGATAAATCTCCCGAACCGAACCAAACCGATCGAACCTGAACCGAATCGAACCGAATTCGACGATTCTTGTCAAATTAAATACCCAAATGGATATCTGAATTGAGAATCGACGGGTACGATTTGGTTCTCGGTTCTAAACCAAGAACCGAAAAATCAAATAAGAACCGAATCTTTCTATTTTTTTATATTGAATAAATCAAATTATTTTAATTTAAATTTTTTCTAAACAAATTAACAATTTCTAAATCTAAATCTTTGGCCCAATAATTTGTTTTATTTCTAATTTTTTAATTTTTGGCCCAATTACTCATTTTATTGTCTCATTTCTTAGCCGAACAAGATCCAACCCACTAAATAACCCTAAACACCTACACTAAAGTGCATAACGCTGTCTTGACTCTCGCAGCCTCGCTGACATTCCAAAACCTATACAATCGTCGACCGACTCTATGACCTCCGATCGAAGCTGTGACATCCGCCAATCGAAATTTTGATCGTAACGATCATTTGAACAAGATAGCCTACTAGTCTCAGACATTTCAAAATCATTGAATGTATCATTAGTTATATTTATATAATGTTGTTATAAATGTTAAAAAATTTAATTATAGTGCAGAATTGAACGGAACGGAACCGAACCCGAACGGTTCCATAATTATATTTGGATCCGACGATTCTATTTGCTAAATATCCAAAAATTTTGGTTCGATTCGGTTCTCTTTAAAATCGAACCGACCCGCGCCCACCCCTAGTTATATTGGAGGCCACAACGATCATCATATCATTTCTAAGTTTATTGAAAGTCTAAATAATTTAAAGCTGTAAATATGTTAGGACAGGGAACAGCAAAAGGCATGAGAGGATCCTGGAATATAATATTAATAGAGATGAACCTGAGCACAACCTCTTGTCGTAGCTTTTGAAGGATGATGGTAGCTTGAATACCAGTAGGATTTCTAGCACCAAGCAGGCGTCAGTCACCATTTGGTTTGAACTTATTACGGTAGCGATAAGGCTATAGATAAGGGAGAAGGAGACCTAAATATAAATTAAGCCCCTGTTTGTTTATCATTATATAAAAATTATTTTTTTCTCAAATTTATTTTTTAACCACACATTCTCTCAATAAAATATTTTGCATGTAAATACAAAACTTTTTTTCTATTTTTTAACCACACATTCTCCAAAAATCCACTATTCCAAAACTCATTTTCATTGAATAACGGTAGACAAACAATGGCTAATTTTTCATTATGAATCTCAAGCACCACCGTCAACCACCTCATTAATGTGGGCATCATGTGGTGAAAATTGCTTTTTCTATGCATGCGGTTGAATTTGTTCCCAGTAAGGCCAAAGAAGAATAGCAAGTACCACATCCAAGTTCTGTAGGATAGCACTTAGCCTCAATTGTCTAATGTTCATTTAATTGGGACATTCGTGTAGGTAAATGTCAGTGATGCATCAAGCGGAAAGCTTTAAAAAGCACATCAACGCCAAATCCATCCTCTCAGGGAATTATTAAAAAAAAAAAAAAAAATTCAGCCTTTGTACTAATTATAATCTCAATAAAAAAAGGGAAAATGAATCGTAACCAGCTACCATGAGGCGCTTCGGCTCTCTTGAGGTGTCCAACAACTTCTAAGTGGACTAATCTTAGAGGTAGCATCTGTAATTATTTTAGCGATATTCCTAAATCATTCCACGTATCAAAGAGCACAAAGTCTAGCACATCTCATTAGATATAGAATGCTACAACTGTTTACCATTCTCATGTACAGGAGTAGTAGCCTTGGGGTTTGATGGGGATCTTTTCTCTGAGCTTGCTCTAGAGGATATCTGTTCCAATGGACGAATTTCTAAAGATCTTGGGTTCTCCCTGGGAATATAAAGAGCATCTGCCTTTGGCGTGCTGGGTGTCTCCTCATCATCACTAAAAAATGGCACCTGAGCAAAAATAATAATGAATAAATAGAGGAAGAGAAACACAAGTTCGTAGTAAGCTATAAATGAGGTCAGGAATTTCATTAGAAGAATAATCCTTACCTTCGGACCATCATTTTTAGGGTGATATTTCCTTGCAGGTAATCTAATACACCTATGAGAAAGGTGTCGAGACGTCAAAAAAGACGATATTCTGATAGGCACTGGTTTGTCAACAACCTGCTTAAAAATAAGTGTCAGTTACTGAGCCAGCAGTTAATATTCTATTCAGCACTAGTATGGTAACACCAGAAAACACGATTAAATTCTTAAGAAGGTTCTAGATCAGTTGATTACAAGGATCAGACACACCCTACATAATTTTCTTTTGGAGTTAATCAAGATAGGCATACTTACTGGCAAGCTGGAAATTCCATACTGGATAGAAGGAGAAGTGC